TTTCTTGTTATAAAAAGTAATTTTTGAGATGATTGTGTTAAACTGTATAATTATGAAAGTAATATGAAAGATCTAACAGAGATAACGTAAGAATGAATCTGTAGAAGAACTTTGCTCTGAATAATCTTGTTACCCTTATTAAGAAAAAAAAATTATCACTATAATATATAATATATATCAGTAAAAAACAATCAAAGAAAGAAATAAAAAATTGATGTATCACAAATGTTATTGATATTTTTTGAAATATTTATATTAATAATACATGTTATCTAATTTAACTGTACGCAGATAGTGCATTTAAGCAACAGCGATTACCAGCCTGGCAACCAATACTCACAGCTGGTACAGTTTTACCAACGTTCTTTGTGATAGGAGTTGCATTTATACCAGTTGGCATAGGATTACTTTATTTTTCTGATGAAGTTAAAGAACATATTATAGATTATACTAACTGCAACTCCACCAATATTACCAGAGATGATGGATTGCCTAAGAAGTGTGCAGATGTAATTGCAGAATGTAATAATTGCTCATGCACATGTGAAATAAATTTTGAGCTAACTTCAGAATTTGCTGGCAAAGTTTATATGTATTATGGCCTGACAAACTTCTATCAAAATCATCGTAGATATGTAAAATCTCGAGATGACAATCAACTGTTAGGACAGTTGCATGAGAGTGTTTCGAGTGATTGTGAACCATTTGCCTATGATAAAATGAATGACAAAGATACGGCCATTGCTCCATGCGGTGCCATTGCAAATTCACTTTTTAGCGATGAGTTGACACTATATTCTGCAAAACATGGTGGGCAAGTACCATTATTAAGAACTGGCATAGCTTGGCCATCCGATAAAAATATCAAATTCAGGAATCCAGAGGGTAATTTAAAAGAAGTATTCAAGAATTTCGCCAAGCCTAAGAACTGGACTAAACACATTTGGGATTTGGATCCCACTAATGAAGAAAACAATGGTTTTCAAAACGAGGATTTAATTGTATGGATGAGAACTGCCGCATTACCCACTTTCAGAAAACTCTATCGTAGGATTGATCATTCTCAAGATGGCTTTAAGAGCGGTCTAGTTCAAGGAAACTACACTCTTAAAGTTGTTTATTGTAAGTAATGTAAACAAATTCAATCATAAAAATAATCTAGTAATTAAAATAATGAAATAAAAAATACAGCTGCTTGGAAATTGTAAAATAAAGAATTGAAGATGTCTATCATATATATTTTATTTCAATTTTTAGAGAAATTAGATAATGTTTTGAATATTTTTTTCAGCATTTTCAGTATCCTCTTTTTATGGGAAGAAAAAGATGATTTTAAGCACAACTTCACTTTTGGGAGGAAAGAATCCTTTCCTTGGCATTGCTTACATTGTTGTAGGAAGTTTGTGCTTATTGCTGGGCATAGGATTACTCATTATACATATTAAATGTTCCAAGAGGTAAATAAATATATTTATATATTATATCCCTTTTATTTGTCCATCTACAATCTCTAAAAACAACATATAAGACATCCGATTTAATAACGTCCTTTATGTGGTGAAGGAACATCTACACAAATTACTGAACATGGTCATAAAAAAACTAACAACAAGATATATTATATGTTAACACCTCTAATATTCATAAATGTATTTAAATTTTGTGCAATATTAAACATGCACAATTTAACATTCAATTTCAATCCAATATAATCACTAGTGATTTACATAATAAACAATCTCTCAAGTTAGATCAACACAGAGACACATATTTCTTTTTTTTTTTTTTTTTTTTTTTCATAACATGAGTTGATAATATAATATTTGATATATGTTATACAGCAAACTAATGTAAAGACGACTACAAGAAATTATTCTTAGGGCACCCATGTATGTCTTGTAAGTGTTTGTGATATTGTGTTATGTCTATCCTTAATAATTGACATATAAAAGTTGTCTTGATAAAATATGACCAATCGGGCAATGTTTCTTGTTATAATTCCATACGAAATACAAAATAAAAAATTTGTAAAATATTTACAATATTTTATTGAAAAAAGAAAATTAATAATTAGCTCGACTAGTCATATTTCGTGTATTGTATGCTTTGCCAGAATGTGTGTGCATTTTTCGCTATATTTTTCAGAAAAGAATAGGATATTTGTTTTTAAAATGCTATTACATGCATTTTTTTTATATTAAACGGCAGATAGGAATAATTTTTATTTATAAACAGCATTATATTGTTTTATTATTTATATCAAGTGTGTAATATAATTAAATATATAAATAATGAACAATAAAAGAACAAGATAATTCCATAATTGTAGAGTGTTTAAAGTTAGTGTTTAAAAATAATGATACATATATGAAACTGAGAAGTTTTAATGATAACTGTTTGGTCTAGTAATTTCATTTTGTGTTTTCGCCTCTTAAATATTTAGTCGTATGCACATTTCGAATTTAGAGATACATGCACTTGTTTGTGTTTTTGTGTATTGGCACAAAATTAAGCGAAAGATACTTTCAATATTCCCAAAAAACCAACAAAATTATTACAAAAATTTTTCGTCAGTAGGACGTGAATTAAATTCGATTCAAATTCAATATATGTATATAATATTATATAAAACATAAAAAGCATGTCGCATGTTCTGAAAAAAAGCATTTATTTAAACTCTACGATGCGTATATTTCTAATTTACACGTGTTATTACATTTCAAAGCATTTTGATTTCCCCTGTGCTTTTTATATTATTGTTGAGTTTTATTTTATTAGCAAATCAAAAAATCGCGTACAAATTTTCTTTTGCAATCATCATATACAAATATCTTTTTTTTAGCACCGCCGATATGATCAATGTGACTCCAACTACAGAATATCATCATTAGGAACGATTCGTTTACTTGAAATGAACGTGATTTCATCAGTATATATAAATTATTGATTATCGTAGAACAAGTGAACTTTTTATATTTAACATTGAATTTCGTTTGTCAGTCATAAACGGACAAATACGATAAAGCAACAAAATAATCAAAAATTTCTTATTTAAGAAATAATTATCTTTTAAAGTTTTTAATTATATTTTAGTATTGTTATATATACATATAACATACATGATAAAATTTTCAAAACTGAATCATATATTCTTGAAATTATATTTTACTTGAAATTCTACTGTAAATTTTAAATAGAATAATTATTTGAAATTTAATTGTCAAACGAATATCATTGTTGTTAAAATATTTAATTTAGTTATGAATATATTCTATTATAGAATATCGTATATCAGCAAAGTGAACAAAAGTATTATGTAAATGATTATACATTGCTGAAACCAAATGTTTATTATATTAAAATGTTATTCCATTTATAGATAGTCAATTTTTGTAATATATTCTTTTGGATTAAGAAATGTATTTTCATGCATTTGTTGATGCACTTATCAAACTTTTATTTTAAGCCTTGAAATTACAAAGATGTAGAATTTAAACGTAAATTAAGCATATATTTCCTCACGGAGATTTCATACAATACAACAGTCGCAAAGTTATCTACTTTTTTTTTGCGAAGTTTTATTTGTTTAACATGGACGTGCCGATGCAAAAATAGTTTTAATATAATTCATTCGATTATGGAGAAAAATAAATATCTTCAAAACGAGCAGAATCTTTTTCAAACTGTTGTATTTTATGAAGAAAACCATTACTAGTATTATTACTTGAAAATTAATATTTATTGCATAAATTACAATTATAGATTCTACAAACTTATTTCTACAAACTGTCTATTGTGAACTTGTAATTTCTAGATGTCTTGAAAGTATCAGATATATAGTAAAAGTGGAATATTATTTTCTTGAAAGTAATTGCGTTAAAATAATTTGTATACGTATATATAATATGTATATATGTTATATGTTTTCAGTTTCTTTTACGAAATCTAATTTATAAAAATGACTGATTGAAAATAATTATTAATCAACCAATAATGTCTTGTGTATAATGATTCATAAAAGTATTTAAATGGCGATGTATCTTGAAAATGACAGTATTTGAATATTGATTTTGAACCATTATATGATTTACATAAATATTTATTAATTTGAATCTCTAGACAGTGTTGCCCTCAGAATATTTCTTCTGAGTGCAATTTTAAGTTATTGTGCCTTAACTGTGTGTGTGTGTGTGTGTGTGTGTGTGTGGTGTGTGTGTGTGTGTGTGTGTGTGTGTGTGTGTGTGTGTGTGTGTATTAAATGAAATAGTTCAAGGATGTATCGTCATTACTTTGTAACAGCGTACATAGAAACGAATTGCTAAGATCAGATTGCAATATAAACTACTTGTAAAATCAATCTAGTCTACTGTAAACATAATAATAAATAAAGAAAAACGATTAAAAAATTAAAAAATGATATTTCTCTTCATTTATCTGTGTGCAACAAAAAAATAATTTTTCTAAACTAAGATGTGAGAAGACAACTATCAGAAATTTGTCTCAAATTATATTCAGCTGTCATACGCAATATTACACCTGTCTTTTTATATTTATGTGATATTTATATCATTCTATCTTTATCATTTTATTAAAAAATAAGAATAATGGAGGTTCCTTGAATAGCATATGTAATTATTTGACATATTGGCTAATTGTAAATTCATCCGAATAAATTAAGGATCTTGCCTTGTGAAACATAAGTACGATTAGGATCATTCAGAGTAGAAATTGCGAATGCGACGCTCGTGCGCGGGCGCGGCGAACGGAGCGGAAATATTTTCGAGCGCCATCTTGCCCCGCAATCGTACAATTCGTCAGTGCCTGTGAATGGACTTGTCATAAGTGTCTTACTTATTATTTCGCCTCTCTGTCCCTGTTTCCCGTCTTGCTCTCGAGAGCTCCGTGTTTCCAAATTCTCGGGTGATATCATCCGCGCGCACAAGGTAAGTACGAATATCTTGCCGTCATCGTCGTCATCGTCGTCGTCGTCGTCGTCGTCGTCACCGTCATCGTCGTTATCATCGTGATCATCATCATCATCATCATCATCATTCGGACGAATCGGATAGACGCGATGGAGTTTCGCGAATATCTTGCGTGACGGTCACGGACTACGTCTATCCTTCGAGAAAACGGGAGCCGCGCCCGTCACCTCCCTCAAGCTCGATCTCGATCGTAACGGCAACACCTCGTAAGATTGACGTGTCACGTACATATACATCTATTTGCGCGACGAGGATCCCTCGGTGGGCGGGTACGAGTACGATACGCGCGATAGCGCGCTCGCCCGTCGCCGCTCCGCCAGTCACGGCTGGAGCGGAACGGCGCGCGTCTGTCCATCAAATCCGCTTCTTTCGTTCGTCTTTTCACCGCATCATCATCGTCTTCCTCGTTGCATCGTGTCATGTTCTGAGGTCGAGGGTGTGCGCGCGAGCGAACGAGCGAGGAAGCCGACCGCGGAGCTTCGATGTGAAGCGTTCACCCGAAGGAGGCACCCGCGCGACAAGGTGGAATTGACCTCTGGATTTAGGCGATTTAGCAGCAATTGTACAATAACAATAATTTCCTGCCTGCGCTCCTTCTCTCGTTGTCCCTCCTTCATGCGCGCCGTGTTTTTCGCATTAAGCATTGACGCGTCAACACACGTTAACCATCAGGGACTCGAAATAACGTAAACGCGCAAATATCTCAATTTTCGAATGTAACGCCTTGAAATGATAATTCCCCCACGTGATCGTTTTGCAAGGTTTCTCAAACCGCAGACTGTTTATCGCTCGTCGCTATTTTCCAACTCCGATGTAACTATCGCAGTCTCGACACGTGTGAGCTTAGTACACGGGAAATGGAAAGTCAATTGAGTGGTGCAACAAGACAGAGGGGACAATGATCAATACTTTCACGGTCAATTATATGTATAATACTGTTAATATGTCAGAAGGAAGCCTTATAAAGGATCTTGGCTCGCTGTAGTTTCGCGTAATAGATAACGCTTCCAGCTCTTTGCTCTGGCTATGTTTATACTCTTGACTTTTTGCAAACTACAGTTGTGAGTGATGATTAGCACAGTCATGCTGAATAGCTCAAGAAGAAGACGTTAGTGAGAACAGGCAGGCTTATGTGTGATTATTAGAGATAGAATATTTAAATAACAATATCGATATCTCTCATCTGTTGATTAAATATAACGAATGCCATTAGAAGATCTTAGATCATCAACTCAGAAGGTCTAATTTACAACATGCTTTTTGCCTTCCTGTTTCTCACTTTTTATCTTATTTCTTCGTTTTCTATTGCCCGAGATAAAAGTTGATGAACTTCAGAAGAGACGAGAAACATGATTGTCATAAAACGCAAAAAGGAAAAACAAGCAAATGATAAGAAATAAGAAACAGGAAACAAAAAGCACATTTTAGATTGGGCTTAACGGCATTGATGAACTTTTCTAGAATTCTCAAACTTAAAAATCTCAAGACATTATTAATTCGAGTGATACTTAGACACAAAGAAAATCTGTATCATTTTTTCGTATATTAATTAACATTAGATGAATTGATAACATTGCTCCAAGAATAAAATCATATTGCTATGATAAGATAAGCAGAGAATACATCAGAAACATGCCGCGAAATGATAAAGTTCTCGTTTTTTTTTTTCACAGAAGAGCAGTACAATTCATTAAAGGAAGGTGCACATCTTTGCCTCCATCAGTGTAAGTGATTTCTTTCCACAAGCTTTTTGCATGTGCTCTATCATCTGTAAAAAGGGTAGTCTTAACGATAGATTTCTCTATAGTTGGTACTTACGTTTCTAAGAACTTAAACTATAGTTTTTACTTTTCTCAATTTAGCGGTTTGCTTGTCGAAAACTTATGAGAATAGATGCATATAATGAATAATCTGGTTTTTGTAAAATCGCGATATCATGGATCTTCAAGATCTTTTGAAACAATGATAGCTTATATTCAAGCAGAACAATAAATCGATAACGTCAAAATGACATTAAAATATCGGAAATGATTTTTAATGATTATTTTGGAGTTATTTTGACATTATTTTGATATCACAACGACTTGTTGTTCTGCTTGAGTAGTCTTTAAACGTATACGTTAAATTTAAATCAATATTTGAATGTATATGTGTAGATGTGAAATTGGCCTTTATCTCTCTCTGTGAGAAATGCAAACCAAGATTTTTGTATAGCGATATTTTTAATGAAACACATCAATCACGTTATTATACATAATTTTTAAAAAAGCAATAGTTTAGGGAGTATATGAGTTGTGCCTATTAAAATCAATATTTTTTTCTTTTTTTTTATTTAATAATTATTGTTATCGCTAAGAGTACAACCTTTTGTATTAGGAATTTGTAAACATTGGATGCACATAGGTATGTGCATCGCTATTACCTTTTTTTTCATGTCCACAATCTTACAGAATTCATTTAAATTTTTTGATAAAAAATTTCATGTAATATTCATTTGCATAATACCATTATTTAACAGATTAATGTGTCATTATCATCCATACGCAGAATGATGAATCATACATTTAAGGTGTGATAAATTTTGTATATAAAATTTCTCTTATTTATCGTATCATCTGATAGTCTAGGCTTTTGTTGTGATTCGGACTATTCGGAAGTTTTCTATATTTCTGGGCAAAACCTAGAGCTTCATCAACAACATCAGCGATATTTCATTAGTCAAGAATGGCGATGCAGAAGGTAAATGCCAATAATGTTCACGACTGTTGAATTAACAACTCACTCATGATAACATGATAATTTGATGTCAAAGCATATTATTAGAAGATTTCTGTGTGTTTTTCACAATAAATCATATCTATCAATTTTTGTAAAGATAATCTGATATTTTTTACAAGAAGTTATTGTGTTATGTGTGTTACATATATATTCAGATTATTTTTATTTTCCAATTTTTGTTGTGATGCACCTTTATTAGTTTGCAATGTTTACTAGCAGAACGTGATAATAATAGATAGTAAAACTGATAATGACAAATGTACATTATGCAAGTCAGTATTGCATTAAATATTGTATAAATATATTTTGATTTGTATTGAAATTTAACTACACTCCATATAACTATAAATAACACTCATCTCAAAGATAAGATAGGAAAAAAGAAAAACGAACGGCATAAATTTATATAGGCACATCTCAAAACAAACATGTTTTCATATGATGTTAAAATATATATAGGTATTCTTTATTCTTAGAATTTAATAACTTTTTATATTTATGTTTTATTCTTTAGTCTTAAAACTCAATAACTATTCATATGTATATAAAATGCGTATGCATATTTTTACATATTTTTGATAATTCAGGTAAATTATGCTAAAGTACAGATCTTAAAATAAAATTATGGTAAATATAAATTGCATTTTATTTTTTCTTCGCTTAGTACAATTTTATTTATATGTATGCAATTGTTAATATTACGATTTTAATATTACGATATTTAGAGAAGAGAAGAATTTTATGGTACAATAATTATAATAAAAATATATAGTATATATAGTGTGTATATATATATATATGTACACACACACACACATATTGTATTTGTTTTTATCAATCTTTATTTTAATATACTGTATATAATACTTTTTCTGCAACTTGAGTTTTTTTTTATTATTTGCCTGTTACAATTTGATTAATGTGCATGCCTTGGTTTCAGTTCTAAAATTCTTATTAATTAATTTATATTTTATTGAATAATTTGGTGCTATATTACTAGGTTTGTAATATTTAAAGTAATGCATATTTATAATTGCATGGCTTTCATGTAAACAAAATACCCATATTTATTATCAGATGCTACTTGCGTCATAATTGACCTGCTATTTTTACATTATAGTAATTATAGACCATGTACATTAAAGATTAAACGATCAAGGTTGAAGAATTTATAGGTCTTTGAAAGATTATATATGTAAGTTTTCATATAATATAAATTCTGTAAATAAAATTATTTGTACTAGATCAATATATGATTATTCCCTTTTATATTGGAATTAATGCGATAATAAATATGGGTCTCTAAAATTAAGGTACATAATACTACAATTGAGTAACATATAGCGATAATATCTTTTAGATGAGAAGACAAGGGCAAGACGTCATGCAAGTGAATCTAGCAGGTATTAGGCGAGATATTATGAATCTTGCCCATAACTACAGCAATGCCCAGGTGATTATTTAAATCTTTTTGTATTACTTGATGTTATTTTTCGCCATTAATAATAGTAAAATAATAGTATATAAAAATAATAGTAGAAAATCTTATGTTAAAAATATTATGTTGGGAGAGAAAATAAAATTAAACATATAAGAATTTTGAATATCAATATGAGATAATTGCTATTTTTTTCTATAGAAAGCTGTACGGAAAGCTACTAGCAATGATCCTTGGGGTCCAAGTAGTACACTTATGGCAGAAATTGCCGACTTAACATACAATGTCGTAGCATTTACAGAAATTATGCAAATGTTATGGAAAAGATTGAATGATCATGGAAAAAACTGGCGACATGTATACAAAGCCTTAGTTCTCTTAGAATATCTTATCAAGACAGGAAGTGAAAAGGTAGCACAACAATGCAAAGAAAATATTTTTGCCATCCAAACCTTAAAAGGTAACAAACGTAAAATTTCATTAGAATTTTATTTTATAATATATAAAATCAAATATTCATATATATGATACAATATTGACTTTATTTAAGAGATTTCCATACATTTTTTAACACAGTCCTATTATATATATATATTTTTATAGATATATTTTTAGCATATATTTTTAATATATATTTTTTTATAGATTTTCAATATATGGATGGGCATAAAGATCAAGGAATTAACGTGCGAGAAAAAGCAAAACAATTAGTGGCCTTATTAAAAGATGATGAGAGATTGAGAAATGAGCGGGCTAGAGCATTGAAGGCAAAAGAGAGATTTGCACAGTCGGTTAGTGGTTTCGGAAGTGACGGTCTGGACACAATGTCACCTGTTAGTAGTGATGTAAGTAGCATGTTAATCAATATAAATCAATGATTAAAAACTGTGCTTGCGTCTGGTTTCGGCACTCACGCGCGTTGTAAGCTTTATTCTATCTTCCCTCTGTGAGAAATGAATAAAGAAATAAATAAAGACAGAATGAAATTTACAGCGTGTAAAGCCGAGAACTGAACGGAATCTGTACCATTTCTCGGTCGACCTTCATTTACTCTTGCAAAAACTAAATTTATCATGTTTCAGTTTCAAGATTGGGAACCTTGTCATTTATCCGAATCAGCGGCTAGACGTACAAGTAAGTTTATCTTTCAACATAAGCGTTAATATTTTATAGCTTCTTTTGGTCAAGATCTTCCAAGTCAAGATTACTTCAACTAGGACAAGATAATTTTTAAATCCTCTTATCATATCTCATTTATTTTTTACGTGTATATTAGATGCAAACATTAATTACTTTACATAAGAATTAATACAATAAATACATTTTCTAGCGGAATTGGAAGCTGCAAGACCGCAAACGGTAGGAGAGGAAGAATTACAACTGCAGCTGGCCTTGGCTATGTCTAGAGAAGAAGCAGAACAAGAAGAACAAAGAAGACGCAGCGATGACGTCAGATTGCAGTTAGCTCTCAGTCAAAGTCAGCAAGATTTTAAGTAAGTAATCAGCGAAATCCAATGTAATCTAATAACGCGATATGAAAAAAGATGTCTGACCTTGCATTTATTGGGCAATGCCATGTGAATTTCAGAGCTCCGCAATCCGAAAAGCAAAGTCACATGTTGGATTTACTCGATGTAAATTTAGGAGAAGCAAGCGGTTCTTCAGTACAAACTGATCCTTGGGGTATCCCGATAACAGCACCACCGCCTAGACCACAGGTATTCGCTAATTGTGTCATTGACTTCACTTTCTTTGCATGATAATACAAAATCATTTTTGCATGATGCACTACAGTCTTTGGATTTATCTGATTTTCATTTATATAAGGTATGTCAGAGGACATTAAATCTTTAGAAGAATGTATAGGCGTGGAATAACATTTTTGCTGGAGTGATTAACAAAATGATGGAAGAATAATAGCATTCTCGTTTTACAGCCACAAAATGATCCATGGAGTGTTCCTACAACAAGTACCACGTCACCCGCGATAGATCCGTGGATGCCTGTTCCTCCACAAAGACCAAGTGAGTTGTATATTATATATGTATACGCAGCAATGAATTCTTTACATGTGATTGCATATTCATTTAATTCCTACATATTTATATATTCTTTTTGCATGTTCTTACGTCTTTGATGATTTCCGATAATTCTCAGAATCCTCAGGTATAATTAATCAGTTAATTTTTCCACCATTTTTCTTATAAATGATAAAGCACTATATTTGGATCCTTATTGAGAATGTTTAATTTTTGTTTTTATTGTAATATTTAATGAAAGCAGTGTTTTAAGTTTTTCTGAACTTTTATTGCAATATTTGATAAATCATTTACTAGAATTACTCAAATTATAATTTAATTATAGCTGCCACTATCGATCCATGGCGTGCACCTGCTCCATCTCCTGCTACAGTCATATCTCCACCTCGTACCAACGATCCTTGGTCACCAGTTCCATCTACTACCGTCACTGAATCGGAATCGAATAAGCAGGTAATACAGACTTATCCTTTAAAATTCATCGAGTCATCAATTTTTATAATAATATATTGATCTGAAATTTTTTTGGTACAGGCTCAAGATGGTGTAACATCTCCATCACCATCTTTCAACAATTCAAACTTGACACAAAACATCGGCTTCGCGATATCGTCGTCTCAAAATATAGGTTTCAATTTGCCACCAGTATCTTCAGCCGCTACTACCTTCAGCACTAGCAATGGTTTCAACGGCACAGGGCCAGGCTTCAATAACTTTCCTACTCAGAACAATGGTGCTGCAACGAGTCCTCTCAGCGATTTAGATGAATTTGATGTGATTACTAACAGGGGAAAACTCGAAGCGAGTCCGCAGACGGTGAACAACGGTACTTGAGTACAAAATTTTTCTATAAAACATAGCATTAATGTGTGCTGAAATTATGGAATAAAGTTATATGATTTTTAAATAGGTGGTACATCATCAGGAGGAGATCCTTTCGATCTGGGTGGCATAGCTGAAACTCTTCCTGCCAGCACCGGTGCTGTGAAAAAGACACCACAATCCTTTTTAGGAGAAAACTCTGCACTTGTTAATTTAGATAATCTTGTCAGCGCTACGGCGATTAAGCCATCAGCTCCTGCGCCAGCGGGTAAGTTTTCATTTGTAACTAAAAGGTATAAACATCGAGAAAGAGAAGTCCAGTATTCGAAATATCTTTTGTTGACATATATTACTTGAATATAATTCCTATTATATGATATAATAATTCATAAAGATCAAGTGTAATGAATGTAATATTCAGTGAAAAATCATTTAAACATCATGAAATAAAAAAGATATATTTTACGCTATAACATTCTATGTCTACAAAATAGCGTTTCATTGGAAATAAGTTCGTGAGTATGAATAATATGATTAAAAATATGGCATGAATGAATGCATGATAATTATTATGTGCAGTGTAATGCTTATTACAATGATGTCTTTCATATGTTATGTCAAGAGTATATTATTTTTTGATTTAAGAGTACTGTGATTTGAATCTTTCTTCGAATATATATCTTGCGATATTCTACTGAATACGTAGATTTTCTTTTCTTTTCTAAATAGATCATTCTTTTTAAATATTCTTAATTTTCTCAAAATATTCTTAATTTTATCTCTTCTCTCCTTCCCCTCTTCCCCCTATTTTGTAATATGCATTTGTTTAGTGGAATGAATTAACAAATATCAAATTATATATCAGATTAAAGAATTGAAAGTTCAAATCAATATCTTAAAAGAACAACCAATCTTATCAAATAAAAGTAAAAAATAAGAAATTTATATTATATATACAGGGTGTCCTACAATTTTTGACAAAATACTTTTTTGTAGATAAAGTGGATTAAATTGAAAAGTCCTCTATCATTTTGCAATTTTCGAAATAATTAACAAGGTATTAATTTATGAAAATAGTCAAATTCGCCCGGTCTGAATGCTAAATGTAAGTGAGCGGCAAAATAAGACAACCTAATAAGGTGCACATGTACATCGTTATATAAAGCATGCTAATGTCGTTTATAAACAATGTATCTAACGACGAAAAATGCATCTCTCTGAGCGGTCTTATTTCGCTACGCACATGATGTAATTAATACGTGAAGCACTCCCATAGATGCGCAGTAGGAGAAATAAATTTGGATAGCATTTGATCAGCCGTTTCAGTATAACCAGCGCTATTATA